TCTCACTGACTTCTCTTTTTCCTTACAGGAATTTTCTGTTCTACGTTCAATATTGGGCATCTCTGTTGGACTCTGCCTCCCTAATGAATCATCTGTTTCTATTTGCAGCTTGATTAAATTTAAACTGTGCTTGTAAACCCACTGTCTCCACAACAGTACCAAAAATAGAGGATGGTCTGCTGCGCTCAGGAAGCTACAACACTGTTTAGTCTTTTTCCTCGTGCAGAGACAGTGGAGACTGGAGGCTTGTATATTTTTTTTGGCACAGAAATAAGCTGAAATTAAAAAGCAGTCTTAAGACACCTTCTGAGTTACAGGAAGGTACCCAACAATCTGTGCTTTTAAGTGCGATAAACAGCTGTATTTAGCCGTACATTCGTGTGTGCTGCAGTCGAAATCTGCGAGCATCCACCGATACCCAGGAAGATAAATAGTGGGGATAATTGTGTGCAGGTGTGCCGTGCTGTTCTGAGGAGCTGCTGACTTTCTACTGTGTGATCGCCTCACTCACTGCAGTCATCTACCAGCTTCTGTATCCTGTATCTGCCAATTTCTGTGCAATTACATGTCATTTTTACACCCACATCACGTGTGTTCCAAGCTTAAACTTGTCATCAGTGCCACTGCCACCAGCACGTTCACTTAGAGTCCCTCGCCGGTTGTTGATTTAACCCTCTGAGTATCAAAGTAAGGTGCTGCAAAGTTCTTTTTGGGAAAACAATATGATTTACATGTAATTTTACACCTTTACTTCCTCTGAAATGCACAGATCTACGAAGACATCACCTCTCTTCTTACCACCCGCTGCAGCTCAGCACACCAGCTCACCCATGACACTTGTAAAACCAATACATGCTGCACTATGACAAGTTGTAATATCCGGCATACATGATCGTCAAGCTAGAAACCAATTCTGAAGAAGAATAATGATACAGAAAGCCCCATCCAGCATGCTGACAGGATTGGTTTCTTAGGTTTGTTGTGTATGAAAGCCCAAAAGTCTGAATTTGTGTTTTGGAGACGGCTGTCAGTATCCGTATATATTCAAGATGAAACTGCTAAGGTGTGGCGTTGTCGTCAAGCACATAAAAACACCATATGGACGTGTTACCAGGGTAAAAAAAATGTGACTATCATTGGACGCCATCTGTATGCCAAGTACTGACAAAAGTAGGAGTCTATAGATGGAAAAGCCTTGTCTCCTAAAATCTATACAACTAAACTGCATTCCTTTTCTTTCAGCCATCCAATCATATTTTAGATTGAGTGGGACTCGTCACCTTGGTAACCCAGACAACAGAGGAGAAACTTTAAATGTGTTGCCAAAGAGTTTAACCCTAGTTATGCTTTTTTCCTCTAAACTTAAACAAGTGGTGTCCAAACCTAACTAAACAGTGAGTGAAAGTTAAACTTAAGTCTAATAATAGTGGTCCAACCCAATCTCCTGGGTCAAACTCCAGTTCCAGACTTACGCCTCCAGCTCCCCTCCGAGCTCCTAATGTGGATTTTGTGGCTCTTCAAACTGGAAGCTTTTACTGCTAATACTACAACAAAATGAGAATGCAGTTCAGCTGTACAGGAGCATAATTCTTGTGAGGCAGAGTTGATGGCCTCATGACTCTTACAAGCCCTGTGGTGTCTCACATCTCCTACTACAGCGCTCTGATGGGATATTACACCACTCATATAACTTCTGGACGTTTAGTCGGGCTGTAATCAATCCCAGAGAACATTTCGCTGCCATTTTCCAAATATTTGGTGGGTGTTCAGGTTTGAGCCACCGAGCTGAAGCGCTAAAAGAACGACGTATTCCCTATCGCGCCCTGCCAAGATGCAACATTAGGTCCTGTACCACAAATACTTTTATTTTCCAGCTGCAGAGAATTCCCTCAAAAACCCACAAGGGAAAAAAAAAACTCTGTTAGATATTTGTCACTTAGCCGTTCAATTACACATTCTTTAAGAACTCCTCGTGATTGCAAATAATAGGACCGATCCCTTAGCCAAAGGGTTAATGTGGTGCTTCACATTAGGGTGGAAGACCTTTATTAGCTGGATGTGCTCCTATTAGAGAGACAGCAAAGCAAGATTCAAACGGGTAATTTTCTCATGACACACACATTTCCATAAACATACCAACCCCACGCTCGCTGTTAGCTGTATGCTGGATTACAGTAAAAGGAATGGCTCAGGTCCAAGTCAAGTATCTTGTGTTGAGTTTCTTGGCATGGCTCGACATTTTCTAGCTTTATCAGGGCCTCGCTGGAAAGAAGCAATTTCTCTTATAAAAAGGTTCACTTGTACCAATGCCGCGTTCAAAACCATCAGCCCGGTGATGTCATGAAGTTAAACAATCCGCTGGCAGTCGTCAGAACCGTTGGAAGTGTTTGCCAGAAGGGAATGGTTTGAGCCGGGGGGGCAAGTCTGTTGCTCTTAATAAGGAATGAGAGACCCGAATGCGACGGAGCATTGGTTTCAAGGTCAGTGGAGACACTGGGAGATCTAATATGACGGCAAATGGGAGCTGAATTTAATGCCTGGTTTCTGTTTTCCTCTTCATTTCTTCCTTGCCGTGTGTAGTAACGCAGCAGCAGCTCGAACATCTGCAGCATCAGTTGACTGTTAGATATTATCTTAGGGTTAACCTGCTGTACAGGAAAGAGGAAAGGTGGAGCTGAAGTGACTCAATCAGAGAATTTATTATTTTGATAATTGATTAGAGCAGCTAGGAAAGGCAGTTTTTTGATCTTGTTCATTAATCTAATCGACAGATTAGTTGATTAATCCAGACAATTAATTTTCTTCCATTGAAATAAATTGACTATTACCATTTAAGTTCATTTTATTAAGTTTTGAGTTTTATGAGTGCATTTAATTGCTTTTTTTATTTTTTAAAGGAAAAAAAAAGGCTTCCTTCTGTATAAAGACATTGCTTTCAGTATTTTTTCCTTCTCTGATGGTGCACCTTCCAAAGTAGCACCCGTGTGTTTAGTCTTCAGGTGCTCATGCATTGCCCTAAAGCTGTTGTGGTGAACCAATAAAACCTTTCGCAGTGATGCAAACCACATTTTTGTTTTGCGATAATCCGACACACTCCCATACCTTTGAAGCCTTGCGCCTTTAAACTTTTACAATGAGCTGAGTTAGACTCCGTGCAGCCACCTTCTTCTATAATTGTAGTGCAGCCGACCAATGATTCAGCCAAAAAGGCTGACATCATAACGCAATTACACAGCGATACGTAAGAAGACATCTGTTCAAATGAATTCAAGCTTTATAGAAAAGGAAAGAAATGTAAAAGATTTGAATGCCAGCACATTTTGAGCACCAGTGACCTTGATTATGCTGATTAATTGCACAAAGCCTACAACTGATCTGTCTTTCAGGTTATTTATTAGTGATTTGTTTGCTGGTTTCTTTAGTCTTTGTTATAGCAAACTAAGCATATATGAGTATTTATCAAACAAAGCAAGCACTGTGATGACATCGCTCTGAGTTCTGAAAAACTGTCAGGAGTTTTTATTCATTATTTTCTGACATTTTCAAGACCAAAGAATTAATTGAGGCAATAACTAGCAGATCAGACAGTCGTTGGCTGCAGCCCAAATGGACATTAACAGAGAATTCATGTGGTCATTTTATCACACTGTTACATTTATTCCATTACAGTTCAGAGGGAGGTGATGTAGACCAGAATGTGTAAAATCTGTTAAATGAAATGTTAAAATCTCGAAGCACTTTGCAGTATTAAAGGCTTAGAATGATCCTCCACAATGATCAACTGTATGACATAAAATTATTTCTCACATGTTCAAGCATCAGTAATATGATCTAATAATAAACACACACACATTAATTCTAAAAAGAGCCATTCTGCATGAACTCCTGATACTTTATGTGTATAATATAGTAGTGAAGGAAACTCAAGTATAATTGTGAGGTACTTTGCTACCTATTTATTCCACTTTTTTCCTCCACTCCACTACATTTCAGAGGGAAATATTGCACTTTCTACACCACTACATTTATTTGACAGTTTTAGTTGCTGGTTAGTTTTGAAATAAAGATTTTACACAGTGGATTATATAACACGCTTTTGAAATACAACACGTTGTTAAAGATTAATCCAGTGGTTTCCAGTGTTTTTCCCTTCTCTTGTCTTTACAAAGAAAAAGAAGTCAGAGTCAAATTTCAGATGTCTCAGTTGTTAACAGCTCCACCAAAAAGTGATTTTTTTTTTCCTTCCAAAATTCTCACATGGTTTTATATTAATGTTCAAATGAGCCAGTATCTAACCAAAAATCAGAGGTTTGAGGAAGAAGTCCAACAACTAAAAACAGATTTGTTCATCAGGGCTTTTGTTTTTTTCTTCTTTCCTTTCCCATTAATCATGTCGGCACTCCTTAGATTTGCTTGATATAAAACCTACAGCAGCTACAGCAGTATCTGATGATCTGATCAGTCAGAGGAACCGAGGCAGTGCTGTTATTTTAATACTATAAATAGTTGTGCAATTTTACTTTTCCATGCTGGACTTGTGATGGAGTATTTTCACATTGCCGTATTGGTACTTTTACTTTAGCAAATGATCTGAATACTTCTTCCACCACTGTTCTGAGGTTAATCATTCTACATGTAGGACTGTTACAGTGTATTTTCTAGTCTGAATACTCCTACTGTGGGTTTGAAGGCAGTTTTTTTTGCTTTAGCTAAATTTGACACAATGAAACAGGTGTTGGAAAAAAAAAAAAAGTGGAAATAAACTATTTTAAAAAGTCTCTGGAGACCAAATGTTTTTAGGGGAGAAAAAAAAAAAGGCTTAAATTTAACTTTTTTTTACATGTTCTCCTATGTGTTTTTGCAGAGCTGTTACACAGTTTACACTAATGAGCAGGCTGTTCTGTCCTGCAGAAGGGGAGCAGTGTTGGTCAGGCTGGTGCGCAGGAGGAGGGGACCAGAGGAGGGATATTTAACAGCCGAGGGGGTGGAGGGCTTCAAATACAGCTGTGCTCGGTCACACTTTCGCGCAGGACGTCCCTGTGTCAGGGGTGAATAAGTTATCTTTCCTCCTCCTCTGTCTCTCTCTGCATACAGGCTTTTTTTTTTACCGGCAGCTGCAATTAAGAAACCACGCCTGTTGCGCTTTAATTTCTACTGAATTGCCGCACTCATACAACTCTACCCTGGAGCTAAACGAGCTGTCTCAAGGGGCCAACGACCTGCTGCTCGTCCAGAAACTATTCACCCCCCTCTTTAATTATTTTATTATCGCGAGAGTGCGCAGTACGACCCTCCCGGGGGCTGATCTTGACCACCGCTGCAGTTAATAATAACCCCGACGGTCAGCGAGCGCTTCTCTGGCCGGGAACGCGCACTGTAAAACAGCAATGGAGTACCTCAAGTTTTGTTTTGTGTTTTCATGCTGGATCAAGTTTGCAAGTTCTGTCTATTCTACTGATGCTCCAAAGTCTCCTGCGCCCATCCCTAAAGGTAAGCAAACTTTCTCTCCCTCCTGTACTTGTTGCTTGGTGGTCGCCTCAAACGCAGACAGTGTACTTTTCATTCAGCCGGCTGCTCCATCCGTGCGTAAAAGTTTTCCAAATGCGCTCCAGAGCCGTCATGTCAACTGCGCGTATAAGGAATTGTAGATTTTTCGGGATGGGAACTGTATAATGAGGCGCAGGGTGCATGCCTGTGGCTCCCTGTGTGGGAAAAGCGCGACATATGTTGATGCGTAAAATTGCGTGATGCTGCCTTACACAAAAGCAAAGCCGTCTGTGGTTTCTCACAATCCGGTTTTTTATTATTCTATGGCGTTCGGTTTGCGCGCCTTTGATATTCAGATGTCAGGCTGTAAAGTTTCAGTGCGAGAAAAAAAAAAACAATTAGAGTGTTTGATTTGCATTCAGACTTCAATGAAAACCAGTGTAATCATACGGTTAGACTTTCCATATGTCATAATGCGCAGAAAATCCATTTGTGGCTTTCTTGATTTTAATAGAAAGCGAGCAGCTTTGTGATTGAGATGCAGAGAAGAGCTTGTAAATCCGTTATAATTGAAGGTTCGTGGAGCCAAGCACACAACCTGCTCCTACAGTAGCTCAGCTGTTACATACTAAACATACTGTATATAGGTTTATGTTCTCCCCCCCCAAAAGCAACCCCACACTTTTATTGACTTGTTTATAAATCCTCCCCCTGTTAACATGTTGCTGTGCTAAATTGCTCTAAATTACCCTGAAATCATTTCAGCTCTTTCCACTCGAACCGGGCATCTCGTAAAACTTGAAGCTAGACAGCAGCATAAGTGGATGCATGTGTGTTTTCTTTATTCAAATGTTGATGTCACAAATACTGCGGGCTGCTGTGTTGAGTCTGGAGCCTTCTTCTACATGCATGTTACTTGGGGCAGAAGTTTACTATCAGAGCTACAACAGCTGCCTTCAGTCTCCACAGGCTGGGTTTAGTCTTTTTGGTCCAACTGGGTGTCTTCCACACAGTAGCCACATTAACTTTACAAGGGTTTTAATGTTTGCTTGTGAAAGCCTTCCAACACCTTGGACAGATCATATCACAAGGAAGCACTGATACAACATGTTGCACAGTTGTGGTCTAAATTCATCACAGATGGCAAACGTTTGAAACAGAAATGAAAGTGCTTCATGTGTGAACTGAATGCAATAAGTATCTTGTTTAATTTAATTGGATTGTTTGAATCAGGGTTAATATAATATTTATAGGGAAATGTTTGATTGCCGTATGTAAAATTAGATTACTTGCTCCAACATCTGCATAAAAAATAGAAATACTTTTAGTTTTGAAGAATAGAGGCAATCCAAATCGTGTCGACTTTCTCAGTCGTTGAAATTTTGATGTAAAATCCTCCTCACTACTGAACTACTAAAGATGTTTAGTTTACAGCAATGGTAATAATTTATGCAGTGTAGCTTGAAAGCTTTTTTCGAACCTCAAGCCAATCCCAAAACGCAGCTCTAATTGCATGAGACAATTAAACATTATATGCCAACGTTAATATGTAGACTCTCGTTATATGCGCCATTTGTTTTTGACGTGGTGATAAAACGCAGTGGTCCACCACTGATCAGCCATTTATGGGCCTGTGTGGATTGTAATGAAAAGGTCTTGAGAAACTCAACTGGATGAGACTTTTTTTTTTGCCTTGTAAGTGTTTGGGAGGCCAAACATTCGAGTGAAAAGGGAAGTAAATGACTCTGAAGACTGGGTAGGATCATGTTGGGTCCTGGCCAGCTGGGAAAAAGGCCTGAATATGCGTCTTCAGAACGAGGTCAAACAACATGTCATCCACTAAGTGCAAAAGAACAAGCTGTACATGGTGTTTCAAAATGACTTTCCTTTTAGGTGGGGCAGGATGTTGGTCGTCATAGTGAGTGGGCAAAGCTGAAATACTGGTTTATAAGGCACTAATAAAAAGGCGTTAAGTCTGAGCCCTGGTTCAGACTTCATTCATATTCTGATTCCTCTCCTCCGACACTTCTCTGGGAGCACAGACCCATTGGTTGTAGCACAGATGCAAACGGTGTGTTTCTGCAGTGAAAAGGGGGCAGTGGAAGACGTAGGAATGCAGGGCTCTGCCCATTTCGCACCAACGTGCACCTGGCCAGTCACCGTGAACAGCGGACGTGGCTGTTGGTTTGTCAGTTTTGGAAAGTTACAAAAATTGGGCAGCGTAGACCCCCACTGTCCAGTCATCTGAAAGGGGCCTTTCACTTATTTCTGACTGACTGTGTGAACAGCACTTCTGACGGAGCAAAGGATTTAACATGTAGGTGGTGTAGCGTGAGTCTAAGCCACTGCGTATCTCTGTGCATGACTCTTTTATCCACCCGACTGCCAAACCGATCGATCGCTGCAACGCATGAACCGACATTAAAGTTGTTGATTGATATTGATTAGATCATCTGAGGCGCTTTCGGAGTCACTTTACGATATCAGTGTTTCAGCAAGTGAAGCAGTTTCAGGAAGTCAGACCACTTCAACCTCTGTCGGACACTCTTGAAGAGTGTTCCTCCGGTGTTTACAGTGTTTGTAGCCCAACCACTTGGTAAACTATGACGTTTAAGGAGTGTGATCCTCGGGGGATCTGGAATGCTCCTACTGCTGTTGACATTGTCTACTTGGAAGGAACTTGTGTATAACCGACGGTCACTAGGACACATTTCCTAATGCATGTTTATAAAAGGCTCAGACAAAATGCCATTACTCAGGATCTGGTGGACTGTTCCACTGTCACATGGACTAGGCGTCTCTAGATTAAACCTTTCCCAGACATCACTGACGTGTCAGCAGGCAGAATTTTATAGAGAAGAAAAGGAAACTCCACCTAAGCTTGTCCATGCCTTATATACTGTATAATAGCGCTCTCTATTGCCTGTAATTCCAGTCTAACAAACTAACAAACCCTGCTGGCAAGCTAAGGCTGTAATCAAGCCTTAGAACATTGTCACTATGTCACCACAAGGTTGGTTCTGCGCCTTCTTTTCAGCCAAATATGTGTTGTGTTGTCTGCGTTTCTTCTGTGTTTTCTCAGCTTTGTCTGAGGTATTTGCTGCCAATTATCAAATAGGTAAATACAGCAGGACACCAGGCTTCTGAGACTTTTCCCCAGAGCAGCACTGAAGACGGGTGATATTTCAGCAATGCTGTCAGGATAATCCTCAGAGTGCAAATATTCCATTATTTTACCTAGTGAGTCATTTAAATGTCTGAACATGGGAGTTAAGCAGCTGTTGATCTTTGGCAAGAGCTGTGCTGGATGAATGTTGTATTGATACAGCTGAACAGGTTGTAATGTCCAAACTGTTGCCTGCTGTTCAAACTCCTCGAACTCATTAGTGGTTGTCAACATATTAAAGATACTAAGGCTTGTATGTTTACTGTAACATACCAAAAAGACGGAAACGACTTCGGGAAATTAGATCATCACTGTAAAAAAAGAAAAAACAAGCACACTGTCTGAAGGAGGCAGGACTAACTTGCAGCCTTTTCTTAGGGAACATGCCCAACGAGAACACATTTATACCAGAGAGAAAACATCAAACTTGTAGGTTTAAGGTTTTTGATGAAGTGTTTAAATCGTTCATTCACTACCAAAATAGCTTCTACAGTAGACAAATCTCCAAATTCCAGCCTTTTATTCTGTCTCTTAATGAGCCTCCGATTTCAGTTTATTTTTAGTAATCATTGAACCTTGATAAAATAAACCCAGCTAGCTGAGAAGAGCATGTCGGTGCCAAACCCTGCACACAGGGAGCCGCTCACTGCTCGTCTTTAAAGAACATTTTCAAGTCACTTCCCAAACAGAGAAACAGGAGCCATTTCAAGGTAACAGCATGTGGCTGTTTATTAAAAAATGCTGGGCTAACATCCCATTTGCAGCAAATATTATCAGAATTTAATAGGTTTTATAATGAAGTTGTGTTCTGCTTTCTATTTACAGTAATTCAGCACAAAAAACAAGTGAGCATATTGACTAGAAAACCCTAAAATGGTTAACCTCTAAGTCCATTATGGTAAATTAAACTAGGTATGTGCTCCTTTCAGCAATTAAGGATTTAAAGCTCTTCAGTAAAATCAGACTGCGGGCAACAAAGGAAATGGACTGTTCTAACCATGAGAGCGCAGCACGACGAAAACTAGATGATAGATTAGTCATGTTTTTTGACATTATAGCTGTTCTAGTAAAATAAATAAGCTATCCGTGATTTAAAATGACGTGTGACGAGACTCCAAAATTGTTTCCTGGCCCAATGATGGTGACATCATGCCACATCCTAAGCCCGAAGTGCCTGTGGTTTGACATGTGTAATTGAAAACACAGGCTTTTTCTGTAGATGTACGACATGGTTCTTGCATTATGGAAATGCTGTGTTATATCAATTATGGCGACTCTGAAACGTCACGAAAAAATGATCTCTAATTTTAGTTGTGGACAACAAAAAGTAAGGTTCAACTAGCCAGTCTGGGAGCCTTTGGGTTTTCCAGTCCCTTGTGTATCAGACCCTGAAATTTGGCTTTTAAAGCTAATTACTACCACATGGGTCACTCACCTAGGTAGCAACAAAGGTATTTGTTACTGTAGGTTAAAAGGAATGTCTGCATGTCTGGGGGCTCCAGACCTTCAGATATCAAAAGTACAACTTCTGTGCCAAAGCTACTTGTGGTCACATTAAAATTCTAATGCTTTCTAAAGCTGGAAAACCTTTAGAAAGTAACTGTAGGTTGGGTAGCGTGTCTCTATGTTTAGTTGAAGGCTAAGAGATGAAGGGGTGGTAGAGTTACACGAATGTGAAGGCTTTACTGTAAAAAAAAATATATGTATATGGTCTGAAAAGACTTTTACATTAAGTCCCATACACAGCGTCTGCAGATGTGTTCAAGAATGTTTTGTGCCATTTCAAATCAAGATGTCCACCTTTATGCTGCCAGTTTGTTCATTAGAACTGCTTCCC